ATTATTTGTCCTTTTGTTGTTAACATATTTGTATTCTAAAAAACACATACTAATGTTATGCAAGGATTAGATATCACTTAAAAGACTTTTTTCTTTAATGGATTGAGATAGATGATGTAAGCATGCAAAAAAGAACAAGGGCAGTGTGGGGATAGCCAAGTCTGGTCTCTATTAACTCCACTAAGGGGAAACTGTCCTCATCAACAACATCCCCAATACACCCTATTCATTATTCATAGGTTCTTACATATCCATGTGGCAAAGTAAATGATTAGGAAAGCCATTTTTAATACTAAACATTGGTGCACAGATCACTTCATTATCTTTATTTCTTTTTATTTCTACATATTCAGATCTTTGATGGAGAAGCACTACTTCCAGAAGGCTTGTAGTGTATATATTCTTGTACAGCATTTCTGAGATAATCTTCAGTTCATGAAGCCTAAATTTCGCTCATTAATTCTTAGTTTTTTGTCTTGTTATGATTCATCTGGACTCTAGCAAACACTGAACTTTAGTTTATGATTTCACATCAGTTCTTACACATAATATCAAAACCACTCTGCCAGTGCTCAGAAAATGATCATCAAATGTTGAGCTTTGGTCTTTATGTTGTTCTGATGTGGGAGCGAGTCAATCTGGTCATCTTTGAATCGTTGGTAGCAATGCCCTCTTCTGGTAGATCACTGTCTTTGGCATGTCTTGTTCTAAAACACTGGAAAAATGTTTATTAATGAAATTCTTATATAGATAAAAGGGACACTTTATACTTACCAGTTAGCCTTAAAATGTTTTGTTTGTTTTCAGCTTGGGGACTAGTGTTTGGAAATTTCTTATTCTGCTTCTAAGCAAGGGCAGGGTTCCAATCTGTTGATTATAGGATTGCTATGAGTCCTAGTCAGTGTCCTGAAAAGAGGTTTTTGGTGGATGAATTACTTTGGTGGATGAATGAATTTATTGAGGTTTTTCCCCATTCCTATAACTCTTGGGATTATAGTAATTTATACCTTAGGATTCTTTGAGGCCATATGTGGCCATTTTACTTTGTTTTCTCTTTAAAACGGAGACTTGGGCCCTAATCCTTAAGGACTCACACTGCTAGCCAAAGACCATTCCTCTCCGATGATTTGACTCTCCCTGAAGCTCCAAGGAAGAAACCTGGGTTATCTCCACCCCTGTGATTTTACAGCGGTGAAAAACTGCTGAATCATCAGCCATGAGTTGGTTCCATCTCAACAGCAGAGAGTTTGAATTTTGAGTTAATAGTGCTGTATCTTTTATAAAATCCTTTCTGAGCAATAATAATGATCACAACTAACATGTATTGAGTGCTGCTCTCGTACTTTAGATCTATTTACTCCATTAATTTCACTAATCGATGGGTTGTTGTTTGCCATTCTCTTAATTCTGAATCATAACAACTCTGTGACAGACCAGAGCTGCCCCACAGGGCTTCCTAAACCGACATCTTGATAGGAGCAGATAGCCAGGTCTTTTCTGTAGGCTAGTGGGTTGGAAATAGCAACTTTTCATTTAGTACCTAAAACATTAGGACACCAGGGCTTTTACTGTCTCGAAGCAGTGTACTGTTACTCATTTTATGCAGTTGGGGAAATGAAGATATAAAAAGATTTAGTGATTTCCTCATGGTCACAATTTAAAAAGGTGAGGCTGAGATTCAAGCTGAGCCTATGTGGATGCAGAGCCCACATTGTCAGTCACTGCCTTTATGCTACACTCTCAAGACTGCCCAGGTCCTACTGCTTGCCCTTCATTTACAAGATGCCTTTTGGTTAAAACTTCTATCCCTAACTGGACTGTGGTAGTAACCACGTTTATATTCCTTCAAAGGATCAACTGAATAACTCTTTTTCTTCCTGATATTCAAGAAATTCTGCTTCTTCTGTCCCTTTCACAATATTCTCTTCAGAATGCCAGAGCTCACTCATCTTCATTCACCTAATGGAACAGACGACCCATGAAAAGCAATTCTCTTCTGGGAAGATGATTACACAAGTGATTGAAGCAGAGAGATTTCGTTATTTCAGAGAATGACACAGGTGATTTTGAAAGACTGCTATCAGAGAGACCTACAGTTTCAGCTCTGAAATCTCAGGATGACCTTAGCTGGCTTATCTATTGCACGGAGCCGGAGCTCAGCTGCTGACCCAGTTGTGTTACTGAGTTGCTGTGGTCTGGTCAGAGAGAAGCGTCAATGGATTTGCTCATCAGCTCACTGCATGGTCCCACTATCCTTCATCACAGCCTCTGGAGGGCTGCTTTCTTCTCCCTCCAGTTGTCTGCCCAGCACTCTTCTCCCAGGAGGCATTGATGGTTTAGTGTTACAGATCTCACCTTCCATGCAGAGGGCCTGGGTTTAAGTCACAGCCAGAACCTTGGTGCAGAGCCACCCCCTCAACTATCCTTGGAGGCCACTTGGCTTCTATGATGCAGAACAGGTTCCGGTATCATATCCAAACTAAGAGAAAGAGGAAGAAAGGCTTGGATCCTGCTTTCAACAATACGCTAGTGAAAACTCTGTGGACCTGAGTGATTTAATCTGCCCTAACCCTGGGATTGGTGCAGGACTGGGCAGCATTTTACTCCTCTGTGCAGGAGGTCGCCATGGGTCAGGCTGAATGATAGCAGCTAAAAACAGTAGTAATCATGATAATCCCTCAGCCCCACTCTCCAGCTGACCAAGGCTTTTCTGTGCTCTCAATTAGGCAGAATCAGGAAGCTCATTTTATTTCATAGAATGTTGTTGCTGTGTACCATCAAGTTGGAACTGACACATCGCTGGCCCTCCAGGGGGTTTTCAGAGGCAGTTAATCGCATGAGAGGAGATTGCCCTTCCTTCTCCTGATGGAGCGGCTGGTGGATCTGAACTGTGTACTTTTGCACTGGCAGTGCACTTCCTTACCACTGAGCCACCAGAGCGGCTTTTTTTTTTAATTGTCAGCTTCAATTTTATTCATCGCTAAAAGGATGATAGTTAAGAGTTCCAGGGATGCCCCATGCACTGGCGTGAAATAACAAGGTTTTCTTCTCGATAGCTTCACTGCCCCACTTTGGTACAGCTGCCAAAAACCATGTGATGGTAAGAATTACCCACCAAACACTGCCAGCCATAGTAAAGAAATAGAGTACCATGAAAAGCATGGTGCAGGCTTTATTATGAGATCCTTGTGTCACTGTGGAAGCTTTATACTGTGCAGGGCTAGAGGCATTGCAGGCTACTCGGTCTTCAAGCAAAAATCCAATGAAGAAAATTAACGATACCATCATGTAGCAGACTGCATAAAATATAATAGGCCTTTCAGGATAGTGGAATCATGTAACATCAATCAAAAAAGTTAAAAAAGTAAACAATGTGGCAGAGAGGCAAATGATTGGAATCAATCCTATGAAATATCGAGCAAATGAAAGTTCTTCTCTCCTAAAGTACATATTTGGACAAGGAGGTGAACAATCACGCACACGTAAAAAAGAATAGCCAAGATCGGGATCGATTTTCAACTCTCGGGGACACCAAAAACCATATTCCCTCTGCACTGCCACTGGGGCTCCTTCTGTGGGCTCTCCAGCTAAATTCAGGCCCACAAGTCGAGGATATGGCTCATCACAATCTGGAAACCTACTACATTCCATGTCTTCAGGCCAAGGAACACCAAACATTTCCATGAGCTTCGAACACTCGCTGTAGGCTCGCTGACACAGCCTACGACAGGGAAGTGTGACACGTCCATATTCCATACAAATAGGAGCATAGAGTGCACAAAGAAACGGCCGGAAATCCCAAGAGCAATCCAGATTCACCATAGGGTGGAAGGGCTCCATTGCTAATGCTGCTGTCTGTTGGTCATAATGATTCAAAAGATTAGGCATGAAGGTAGTATTATAAGGCAAATCTTGGCACATTCTCAATGTAATAGGTTCACAGGAAAACAAACTGTGACCCACTATGTGCTCCATAAATATAGTCAAAGGCCAAAGATAAAAGACAATCCAAGTCATAGCCATTCTTCCAGGATCTGAATGAGATCCAAAAGATGACGCTTCTCAATATCTTTAGATCTTTATGCACCTGCAGGTCTCAACTTGAATGTATTTCTTATACAGCTTACTGTTGAGTTCTTCAAACAGTTAAATACTTCACACATCATCAGAGCTTTGTTAGCTTGGTCTCACAAAGGGCATTTATTTTTGGTTTCACAATGAGGGAAAATGACATCATCTTGCCTCTTCATTTTATTACATTGGGCACATCTGGCCAGCATATCAAGTTGATTAACCACATTCCCAAACAACAGATTCCATCTTAGATCAACAGCTATTTCTTACTTTGATTAAAATACCTCGGACCTCGGAGGCCGGATTCGCTGATGGGTGCAGCGCCAGGCGGGGGCGACCAGCCGTCCCTCAGGTAAATGGAGCAGTCGCGGAGTGCCAGTAGGTGCCTTAGAGCCAGCCCGAGCTTTCGCGAGCGCCGGGGCGTGTGGCCCCGTGAGCACGCGGGCGCCCGCACGCATGACCCAGAGCTTCTTAAGAATAAATATTCTTAAATCTATTTTTCTGTATCATGAAACTCTATTTCTTTTATCACTTCCCTGACATACAACACTGAGATCCTAATTGCAGCCAGCACATTTCATTATGGTGCTTCTGATCTTTCTGTTAACATTGAGGACACAGTCTCACCAGGCTGTTGTCATCTTGTCTTTCAGTGAGAACCCCCCACCTCCAGCCAGCTGGTATTTGGAGTAGTTTTTCCATAGTGGCATAGCAGTTTAATCAGGGCATGGTGTAGTCTCTGGTATGACTTGGGAAATACGGATACAGGAGAGCTTTGGTTTCTGTTGGATTATAGTTTGAAGGCAGGTGACAAACAGCAAGGCCACTCTGGAGAAACACTACAGAAAGTTTTAGTGTAATTGAGTGTACTTATAGAACGTGTTAAATGTCTGCTTAACCTCAAATAACACTCTCTTCTTCCTCAGCCATAGACTATAGCGACAGCACCATGCAGGAAGCCCAGCAGCTCCTCCTTGGGATCACCTCCTTTATTGGGGATGCACGGGCCTATATGAAAGGACAGCTGGTGTGTGCCTCCATCAGGGAAGACAAGCTGTGGAAAAGGTGAGCGGCCCAGCCCAGAGTTCCACTCCTCATGCTCAGACATGAGACTTGCTCTGGTACCACGTGTAGGCAACTTCAAGGGCAGACGTGCTTCCTAGAAACTGAGGCTCTCTTACAAGAAAGTGGTGTAGCAGTGGGCTTTGGAACCAGAGAGCCTTGGCTTTAAATCCTTGCTACTTATTGCTCAGCTTTGTGGCTTGAGGAGGTGAGGAGGGAAGAGCCTCTGCCCTCGTGGAATAGTTGTAAAGGTTATTGTTGATAATGCATAGCTGGACCATGTTTCCTCCATGCTGGATAAAATGGTTTGCTACTTCCTAGTGTTCAATAAGTACTTCTCGGGGGTTTGTTTTGACAAGGACTGTGAACAACAGATGTGAACCTTTCCCTGTCTCACACTACCCTCACCCTCTCTGCCATGCTCAAGCCCAGTGTGACAGTCCATCTTGCTGAAGTCTGTGACAGCCCCACAGCCGTCGAATCCATCCAGACTCATGTGACCCTCCCTGGGACTTCCAAGGCTGTAAGTCTTTATGAGAGGAGATTGCTTATCTTTTTGCCTTAGAGCCGGTGGTGGGTTCAAACCATAGACCTTTTGGTTAGCAGTGCAACATATAACAAACTGTGCCACCAGATCTCCTTAATGATAAACTTGGGGGGTTTTTGTATACTATTGAGTTGGAGTCAGAAACGACCCCTAGCTGACCCTCCTGTGTGATTGGCTGCCTCTGAACACCCCCTGGAGGGCCAGCTATGGGGCAGTTCCAGTTCCAACTCAACCGTACACAACAACAGTTTGACCTTTAAGGAGCCTTGGTGGCATAATGTGTTGTTATCTGTTGCATTGCTAACGAAAGGTCCTTGGTTTTAATCCCAAGGAAGAAAGATGAGTAGTCTCCTCTCAGGAAGACATACAGCCTTGACAATCCAGTGGAGGGTCCCATGAATTCAGGTGGATTCAGTGGCAGTGGAGTGGTAGTGACCTTCATGCAAAAAGGAAGGTTTGCAGGTAACTATACGAGTTTGACCTTCAACGAGATGGATTGACACAGTGACTTCCATTGTGGGTCAGCATGACAGAGACTGTGAGGACAGCACAGAATAGGGCAGTTCCAATCTGTTGTTCATACGGCTGCCTTGACTCGTAGTTGACTCGACAGTACCTAACAACAACAAACATCAGTTGGAACTTTGAATAAACCATGGAATATCCGAATGGGTGGGGAGACACAGATCTCAGTAACTAAAGCCAAGCTTACATCAGGGGACAAACACACTTGGGTTTGTGTACAAAGTTGCTTGGTTGTACTGTGTAGATTCAGAACTATAAAGAAAAATGTAAAAGAAGAGAAGTCACATCTTTGAATTATAAGTGAATTAAAAGTTGAACAACAAATAGAGGGGGAAAAGTAAACTCTTATCATTTAAATCTAGAGATAATGATGTTTCATTTCCATTGCTTCATTGAACGGCTAAACATATTAGACATACTTTTAGATATTTTTCAACTAAAAGTTTGAAAGCTTTGACAATGATATCAAAACAGCTTTCTGACAGAGGATGAGAAAGAAAACTAATTCCTGGAAACAAAAGAAACTGCTATTTGGAAATTATGAAGAAAAATGTGTTTAGCTTATTGATGCTTATTGGGTATTTGCTAATATGCTAGGAACTATGCTTGGAGCAAGAAAAGATGACATGTATTAACATGTCTTCCCCTCTCCCTTGAGGAATTTCTAGAATCCTAAATTCATCTGTGGATCATATGGGAAAGGGTAGGTGTCCAGAGAAGATAGGTGGTAGCTGAATTGTGCATGGTGAAGTGACATTAAAGTAGTGGGTAGCTAGGGGACAAAGGTCAGAGGGCAAGGTGAGCTTCCCTGAGGTCCGAGAATGTCACTGCGGTGTTGCTAGGTCTTGTCTCTGCATCACTTAACAACATTGACATAGCAGAAGGATGGGTGGTGGGAAGGAGGAAGGGAGGTGGGTTAGTGCTCTATTTTTGTTTTAGATGAATGGTAGTGCTGCTCAGCAAGGCAGCAAATACAGGCAAGAAAGATGTGGGTGCAGGGGAAGATGAACAGGGCAAGGTCCAGATTTGTTGTTTAGAGGGTCACTGTGAGTCATGTCAACTCTGTGGCACTCAGCAACAACATGGGATTGAGAGGACGAGGAAGGATCAGGCAGTGTTTCTGTCTAGTTTAGATGGGATGGCTGTGAATTGGAGGTGACCTGATTTCAACAGCATTGGGTTTCTGGTCACAAGGCATCACCCAAGGCAGCACAATCCTACTGTGTGCCCAGTTAGGGGGAAGGGAAGAAATATTCGGATAACCATAACTAACACTTATTCTAGATAGCAACTAGATTTCTGGTGGGAAGTTATTGCTGGGAGCTTACTCTGAGGGGACATTTAGGCCAAAGAAAAAGATTTGGGAATTGTCAGTGATTGAAATCACAGGTGTGCAGGAGAAAATGCACAGAGAAAAAAAGAGCAGAACATGACCCCAGATTATGCCCACATTGTGAAGACCACCAGAAGAAACAAGGGAATGGGAGTGGAGGAGTGGTGGGAGGCCGCAAGAAGAACTTTTCAGGGAGCTGTGGTGAGCTGTGTATTCAGAGGAAGACCAAAAAAGAGAGGAGACAGGTGATCTTAATTAAGGAAGAACAGGTTCATTGCTGTAAGTTATAAATAAAAAGAAGCAAAGCCAGTTGAGCCCTTCACTTGAAGACTACTCTTTGAGGAAGCGTGAAAGCAAAGAAAACAGCACTGTAACTCACAGGCAACAAAAATGAGAAGCTTGTGCTTGCTTATAAGCTGAGAGGAAAGAGACAGCTGAGGGACAAGAAACAGCGTGACTGAAGGGCTGTGGTTCCTGAGTTGGGGTTTAGGCATGAATTAGAGCACAGTCCAGAGCTCCTTATGGGGTGGGACAGGAAAGGCAGGCATTTGTGTGAAGAAGTCAGTGGTGGGAATGGGGGAGGGAAGTTGAGTGTTCCCATCTGTTGGTGACCCTTAGAAGGAAAAGTTTACCACACCCCAGGGTCAGACAGAAAGGAGTAGTTTGAGTCCTGACAAGGCAACTTGGACTCATATGAACCATGGGCCACTGAGCCCTACTGTTTAGACTCCACATGATTGAAAATGTCAGTCCTCTCTGAAGGATTCTTATGTTTTAAGAGTCATTACTAGCGTCCCCTCATAGACATGGAAATTAAATGAGAAAGCACGCACGAAAGTCCTTTAACACAGTCGGGCCCATCAGATGACAGTTTCCTCATTACCCTTACCTTCTGAGGTTCTAGCCCCGAATTATCTTGAGCTCTCAGACGGGTCATTTATGCCCCCTGTTCCTCAGCCCCTCGTGCAAAGGCCGGTGCTTTTCTTTTCTTTCCTATGTTGTTGAGAATATGTATAGCAAAAGACACCAGTGAGCCATTTTGCGTGCATTATTTCAGTGACATTGATACCTTGAGTTATACAACCATTCTCATCCTCCTTTACTGAGTTGCTGCTCCCCATTAACATAAATCCACTGCCCAAGTGGGTTCCTGTCTAATCTTCTGGGTTCCTGTTGTCACTTTGATTCTAGTACGTAGTTCCTTGAAGAGCATAATGTTCAAAGCAGTTATATCTAACTAAGGTAAACTAGCTATTTTTTGTAAGTTAAACCAAATTATTGTTTAGCTTAAAGAAGACTCCAGGGGATATTTTTGGCTTAGGTTTAAAAAGGACAGTAGTTTTGGGGGCTTACCCAGCCCCAAGCTACTCTGTGATGCTTTTGAAACAAGAGCGTGTCATATTTAGTTAATGCTCTGTATGTTTTTGTGTTTTTTAGATTCTTTCAAGTACATTGTCTTAGTTATCTCATGTTGCTGTAACAGAGACACTACAAGTGAATGGCTTTAACAGGAATTTGTTCTCTTATAGCTTCTGTGAGAAGTGCCAGGTTTAAGGGAAGGCCTGCTCTGTGTCAGTGGTAGAGGATAGCCCTTGTTGCCTTCAGCATCTAGAGGCCCAGCATTCCTGCACATCTCCATGTGTCTTAGCGTCCTGGGTGTAAAGGAACTTCCTATCACAGAAGTCTGGGTGCAAAAGAATAACCTCTCCTTCCATCAGTTATTTCTTGTTCATACTGAGATCCCCCTGGCCCAGCTCTTTTCCTCTCCTGTTACCTCTTTTGTGTGATAAAAGGTATTATAGGCCACGTCCTAGGGAAACTTGCCTTACCTGGAATCAGGGCTGTGAAGACATTAAGGGGTGCTGCATTCCACCCTTAATTTTTTTTCTCCCCCTTAATTCTTTTAGTATTATTTAGCTTATCAAATCATGGGGCATTATGATACAGTCTCCACAAGATATTATTACATAACAAGTATTTAGAGGGGACACAATTCAATCTATGACATCCATCATCTCAGAAACTCCCTAGTGTCTTCTCACACAGGCAATGACTGGGCACTTGGCCCAAGGTTGGAAATCTAGTGATGATTAAGGGCCAAGATCCAGGAGGAGTCCTGCCCAGGACTCTTCACCTACCTGAGGGAGTGTGCTGCCCATCACTCATTGATGAGTGATGGAAACATGACGCCATCATTTCTTCCACCATAGTCTTTACTTGATACCACTTTTGCATAATGCATGTGAGTCAAGTTTATGGCATCAATTTTATACCAGCTCCACTTAATCACTCATTTCTGATTTTTATGCAAAAGCATTTGACTGTGTGGAGCATAACAAACCATGTTAACATTGAGAAGAATGGGAATCCCAGAACACTTAAGTGTGCTCATATGAAACCTGTACCTCGACCAAGAAATGGTTGTCCAGATGAAGCAAGGGAACACTGCATAATTTAAAATCAGGAAGGGTGTGTTTCAGAGAGGTATTCTTTTTCCATCTCTGTTCAGACTGTATGCTGAGCATTCCAGAAGCTATTTAAGAACAACATGGCATCAGGATCGGAGGAAGATTTGTAAACAACCTGCATTATGCAGATGACATGACCTTACTTGCTGAAATTGAGGACTTGAAATGATTAGTGCAAATATAAAAATATAGCCTTCAATATGGATTGCATATCTACATCAAGAAGACAAAAATATTCACCATTGGACCAATTAAGGAGCATCATAATAGATTGAGAAACATTGAAACTGTCAATTATTTAATCTTATTTGTATCCATAGTCAACACCCTTAGTATTAGTAGTCAGGAGACGTATTGCATTGGGCAAGTCTGCTGTCAAGGTCCTCTCCAAAATTCTGAAGAGCAATGTTGTCAGTCTGAAGACCAAGGTGCACCTGATTCAGGCCATGGTCTGTTCAGTCACTTGCTATGCATCTGAGAGCAGGAAAGAAGAAAAATTGATACCTTTGAACTGTGATATTGGAGAAGAGTATTGAACATCCCATGGACAGGCAAAAGAACAAGCAGACATGTATTGGGAAAAGTGCAGCCAGAGTGCTGTTTGGAAGCTTGGATGGTGAAACTTCATCTCATACATACTTTAGGCATGTTTCTAGGAGAGGCTGTTTCCAAGCATGAAAGGGAATCATGCTTGGAACGGTGGAGGTCAGTGAAAGACAAGAAGATTCTCAGCGAGCGGGATTGATACAGTGACTGCAGGAATGGACTACAGTGTGTCAGAGATGATGAGGATGGTGCAGGATAGGACAGGGTTCAGGTCTACTGTTCACAGGGTAGCTGTGAATCTTACTCCACGGGATGGAACCTAACAACTAATTGTTAAAACCTTATGAAAATGTCCACTTGTGTATTGTGTCTTTAAACCCACGTCTTATGGGTTGCTTCCTTTCTAGAATTTTTAATTTGAGTACTATGACAATTTTTAGTTGATCTTACATAGTTAAAATTTCGTGGTGAACTAGCTTCAAATTCCAGAGCACAGCTTTGGGAAAGAAGAAAGGGCAAAACTTTGACAAATCTTTGTGAATGTGACCTTAAAAAGTCTCCAGTGTTAAAAAACCACTAAGTCTTCTTGGAAAAAGGTTTTGCTCCTGTTGCATTGGCATGGTTCTTTGAGACTGGTGAACTGATACTTTCAATGTCGAGTGTCCGTGATTGATGGCATGCGGATTGGTTTTGCTTCGTACTAAAATTTCCTTGTCGCTACAACCAGGAGAAGATAACATAGATGAATGGGACCTTCTAAGACTCAAATCCCTATGCACATCCAAAAACTTCTCTAGTAGGGTAAAAA